TCATGTTTAACCTGGTTCCATGCTTAATAAAACAAACATTCAAAGATTGTGTGAGTTGTTTTCAGCAGATTGATGTGTTTGTGCTGGTATACTGACCTGCCAGCGACCAGAATTACGGAAGAAGAGAGAGAGGGACTTTAATCCTGATTAACACACATGCTCCATCATTCAATCCTCCCAGCAAGCTGCAAGCTGCAAAACACTGAACCATCAAAGAAAGAAACATGATTGGCACAACAAATATAAATCTAAATATAGCACAGAATATGTTTGCATCTGCTCCATGATTATATCAGCTTTACATGCACATTATTTTTAGGAATTCACAATGAACTTGTATAGTTCAAATCCACTCCTTCAGGCTCTGCAGTAGCACGATTATTAATATTCTGTATCCACTGAACACAATGATGCGATCTCATTTAGAGAAAACCAGGAGCCGCTGATTAATTTCAATTCTGGATTCTTAAAAAATTCTGAGGTACATGAAACTGAGTGATTTATAGATTAACAAACACAATGCATTAAGTGCAACATGCATCAGAAGGCCAGTGAACAGACTGTAGGTTGTCTGTTCTACTAGAGATACTACATACTACTAGAGAGACTGGAAAACTGGGTCGGGCTTTCTGGGATGGCAATCAAATGGTTCAGGTCATACTTAGAAGGGAGAGGTTATTATGTGAGTATAGGAGAGCATAAGTCTAAGTGGACGTCCATGACATGCGGAGTCCCACAAGGCTCAATTCTTGCACCGCTCTTGTTTAGCCTGTATATGCTCCCATCATTTTCAATGTTTTTAAATTCCTTGTTTTATTGTTGTGATAATTTTTTTTCTTTTCTTTTATGTAAAGCACTTTGAATTACCATTGTGTATGAAATGTGCTATACAAATAAACTTGCCTTGCCTTGCCTTGTCCACTAATGTGGAATAATGTGATCTGAAAATTCCTAAATCTGTTTTACAAGCATCAGTTATTAAATATCTTTCTATGGATTATGCGATATGTGTTCGGTTCGTATGCTTAGTGGCCAGTGAGATTTTGACTCTTCATTCAGTTGTAATAGTGACCTCAAGTGGTGATCCGGGTGCACAGCAAACACAAACACATCCCACCCCTCTGAATTGCTTGTGTTCTGGATACAACTATTACAGCAATTTAGAAGTAAAATGGAATGTTCAGATTCAAAAGTTCTATTAAAAGCATCCACAGCCTGCTGTCACCACAGAAAATAATGGAGACTGTGTTGCGCTAAAACGCAAGCCACAGCAGACTTTCTGAGTTTTCTAGCTTTAATTCTGAACAGTTTTTACTCACAGCGACATACAAATTGTTTATATAATTAAATTATTTTTTTTAAATCCTTTTAATGCAGCAGATCAATGGCAGTTTTTAAAATGTGATCTGTACTTTAGCAATGGTGTATGAGAATATTCCAGGTTCAGTACAAGTTAAGCTTAACCAAAAAAAATAATAAAAAACATCAAGGTGACACAGATGACAGATTTTAACTTATGACAAAATTGTGGCATTGAACTAGAATGAAATGGGGCAAATGGAGTAATTAAAAGCAGAAGTGTGAATCTTGTAATTTAATGAAAGCATGTAATGTAATCTTAAAAATAAAGCCTCCAAATGGGGGTTTTCACGGTGATGCCATAGAAGAACCATTTTTTTGGGTCCTCAAATAACCTTTTAACAGTTCTTAACGGAGTCATTATTTCTTAGTGTGAAGAACATTTTAATAATCAAAAGAACCTTTTTCCACTATAAAAACATTTGTGAAATTGAAAACTTTTGCACTGCCTGGCCAACTAGCATTTCTGTATGGAGATAAAGGTAAGGATCATGTAGTACAGCTCACAGTTAATATACAGTGCCCTCCATAAGTATTGGAACAGTAATGACAAAATTGTTTTGTCTGCTGTGGAGTCAAGACATCTGCAAATATGATTAAAATATGAATGTGAGACAAAATTACAGAATGTCACATTTTATTATAAGCCGTTTCAACACAAACATGTTTTATCAAATAAAAAGGACAGCACTTGTAGAGTTTCATTCCTCAGTCTGATGTGAGCATACACTCTAAAAAAAAAAAATGCTTGGTTGTTTTGACCCAAAGTTGGGTTGAAACAACCCAGCATTTTTTTTAGAGTGCAAGTATTAAGACAATTGAACTTAAAGCAAATGTAAGTTTAAAAGCTTATATTTAGTTGTGAATCCCTCACATGCAATCACAGCAGTAAGTCTGCCACCCACAGACATCACCAGACTCTTGGTTTCATCCACTGACATACTTTTCCCAGTGTTACTTGCGAGAGGTCCCGGGTTCAAATCCCGGACGAGCCCCCAATTTCTGTTATGACCTCTAGGGGTTAGCCGTAACAGAAAAAGATATTTGAGTTCACACCAGAGAGATGCCAAATAAACAATTTTATTTTCTTTTAACGGGAGTATCTTCCGGGGCAGACAAGGCCAAAACAATAAACAAAACAGACTTTTCTTTGACAACTAAATAACCTCAAAACAAAAATAAAGAAAACAAAATACAGGCCAACTTGCCTACCTCCCTCAACCATAAACAAAGTGAAAAAAAAGATACATATAAATTAAATGGCGTCTAAGCCTCTACGACCCTTAATTTGGCAAACTAGTATTTACAATAATATTTACAAAGTTATTTACAAAGTTTCAAGGCGTACACAAAGCAGAATCAGAATCCAAATCGTAGTCAAGACAAACAATGTTCAGATAAACAGGGGTTTTAGAATTTGATCTTACAATAACAAACACTAAACAGATTCAACCCACTCAGAATATCTCTCTCTCCGGTAGGACACTCTTTCACAACGGCGATACAAACAATAGCAGGAAACGGTCAATCAGACCGCTAGCGAAACACAACAGTATGACATCAACGAGGCTCAAAGGCAGAAGACGAGTGTTTGGGGCGGTCCTTATATCTGGGTAGGGTGTCACCATCACCAATCACCATCTCCAGCTGGTTAACAGAGGCCACACCCATCTGGAACACAAACATGTCTACACACACGAGCAGAGAGATTAAATACATACAAAAACAGTTCACAGATGCATAGACTATCTTAAGGTCATACCACCAGCCTTTAATACAGCCAGTTTCAAACGTTGCATGTTTTGGGGAGTTTCTGCCTTTAGTCTCCTCTTTAGCTGGTGAAATTCATGTTCAATAGGATTGAAATCTGGAGACTGACTTGGGCAATCTAATTCCTTCCATTTCTTTGCCTTGATAAACTCCTTTGACTGAGCTAGCAGGGTGTTTTGGGTCATAGTCCTGTTGCAATATGAAGCACTTTCTGATGAGTCTTGTGGCATTTTCTTGAATATTGGTAGCCATGCTTTTTTTTGCTTTCCCATCACTTAAATAATAGATCATCTTTGTCTCATCTGTCCATAAAACTGTTCCAAAACTCTACTGGCTCACCTTTCTGCTTTTTTGCAAACTCTAATCTTGCCTTTCTATGTTTGCTGCTGATCAGAGGTTTTCATCTTGCTGTGTAACCTCTGTAATTCTGCTGTGGAAGTCTCCTGCGGACAGTAGATTGTCAGACCATCACTCCAGCTTTCTTGAGGTTGTTGGTGATTTTACAGACACTTAACTTTAGGGTTCTTTTTCACAGCTTTTATGATTTGTCTGTCAGCTATTGTTTTTCTCAGCCGATCAGGTCGTTATTGGTTGCTGTAGTCACCGGTGGTTTCTTTCTTTTTCAGGACATTCCAAACGGCTAAAACAATGGCTAAAACTGATACAGCACATTCCCTGCTTTTAATATCTGAACAATTAATGCAACAGGACACAGCTGATCACTTAGAAAGACCTGTGAGCCAACTGTCCCAATACTTATGCTCACATCACATAGGAGATGAAACTTTAAGTGCTGATCTTCTTAGTTGGTAAAACATCGGAGTTGAATCACCCAATAATAAAAATGTGACATTCTGTAGTTTTGTCTCATATTCCTCTTTTAATCATTTGCAGATGTCTTGACTCCACAGCATCCACAGCAGTCATCACTGTTCCAATACTTATGGAGGGCACTGTATATAAACACCATTTGTTGTTTGCTTTTTGGATCTGATAGAGCATTTGGACCCGGAAATGGTGACACATGACGTCATGCCTATCAAATGGATAGTGTTAACTACCGAGGCAGTGTTTTGTTTCCTACTCAGGGGTCCAGGGTTACATAACCAAGACGATTAGAATCATGAATTTGGGGATGATAAAATGAGATGCTACGCAAACAATCAATTTGTGATCTCTCTGTTCTCATTTCAGCCTTGTTTTTGTTACAGATTGCATGAATTAAATTATTGCATGGAAAAATAATGACCAGGACATACTTAAAAAAAAAATCTCCTACTACTTTCTAGAATATACTTTTAATAACATTGTCTCTTCAAGACAGACTTCAGGCAATGAATCCTTACAGGCGAGGAAAAACTGATTTCGAAATTCCACTGAAATGAAGAAATTACAAGCATTCATAGAAGGCACATAGTCAAACACAAAACACCTTGAATCTAATGAAAAGTCTTTGGTGGATAGACCTTTTATGTGCACCGTTGGTTATGCACACATAACAATATAATAAATTACTGATGAAATATGAATCTACAGCGGGACAACCTGTTATGTCTGCAGTCTGCACTGTTTTAAAGTGAGATCATGGACGTAACAGGATGCTCATGAACAGGAATCCCTACAAGGTAACAAAGTTTGCTAACTGGCCTTAAACTATAAAACTTTATTGAAGTACCACAAAAGCCTGTAACTGAAATATTAGATGTGACTTAATATGTGGGGGAAAAAAATTGGAAGAGAGAAAAAGAAAAAAAAAAACACCTTCACGGCACAAGCACAGCATCATATGACGTAACATTTATAGCAGATATGTAGAAAGAAAGAGAGACGCAAAGCCTTTCAGTGTTTGAAATTAGGCATTTTTCAAACTACAACAAAGGGGTTTTCTATAGCCTGTGATCATATTTCTCCTGGTAAAACACAATGTTATTACACAGTTATTTTTCTTTATGATTCCAACAGTCTCTTCCTCCTATGCAATGACAGAAAAATCAAATGATCCTCCACAGGTACAATCAAAAAGCCTTTATAGTCTATAAGAAAAGGTAGCCTTGTAGATGACGTGCACATTTGTCAGTCGATTGTAAACAAGGGCGCACAGGGCTGTGTGTAATTACACACACGTGAGCTCAGGCTGTTCAGGCTAGACATGCATCTGGGACGGTGCTCTGTGCATGTGAGGTCAATCGTCAGCAAAAGTGATGCGTCCAGGCCCCTCACTCTTCATCCAGCGCCTGTAGCGTTTCCATCGTGGGTCTGTGGCCATCTTCATCTTCATCTCCTCCTCCTGCTCCTCTCTGTAGGCCTTTCATAAACACACAGTATGATCACTCAATCTGGAGTCCTAAACACAAACATACTGCCACCACACACTCGAGCTTATTATTAAAAATATTATAAATATAAAATAATATAATAAAAATAAGTAAATCACAGATTGACTTAATAAGGAATGTTTCTTCTGAATATGAAAAAGGTCTGGGTGAACCTGATTCTCCATCATATTGTAAATTATTTATATGATTTTAAGCATATGATCTTTAAGTTTTATATATATACACACACATATGCGCACCATTATGGGGCATAAAGTATACCTATGTGAAAAACAGACATGAAATCAACAGTTGTACAGTTGTTACGTAATGTAAAACTAAACATGCATTAACAGCAATGTTTTTTAAAGGGTTTTGAATTTATTTAGATTGCTTTCAGAGCCCAAGAAAAGCTGATATTTTTGACTGTATAGCAATTAATAGATTGCTGCAGGGGTGATGTAGTTTTGTAGGCCAAAACCCAGAAAAAAAGTTTGTATTTTAGCACTTCTGGTTCCATCATCCATTCAAAGGTTTTTTTTTTTTATATAGGTTTTGGTTAAGTGCCTTCTGATGTCTGTGTTTAACACAAGCCAAAGATATTTTCTCATTTTATTCTATGGAAAAATTTTGATTTTGCAGTTGCACTAAATATGACTACAGAGGTTGTGGGGGACATTAAACATCATCAGACCAAACAGGAAAACTCATCTATTCACTACTCCGTGTTCACAATCTCACTGTTCATAAGCTTAATGATTGTGATGTTGAAAAGTCATGCAACCATGGTGTAGTTTGTTTATAACCTACATTAAAGGGACAGTTCACCCAAAAATGAAATTAGCCCATTATTTACTCACCCTCAAGCCATCCTAGGCATATATGACTTCCTTCTTTCAGAT